TTTTTGTTTGTTTGAGGGTTCTACCTGATTCGATCATTTAATCAATTAATCAAATTGTTAATCGAATTTTATTTTTTCCTTCATCCATATCAAAATAAAAAGCAAGCACTAACATCCGATTTCACAGTTGAATACACACACCATTCTAGAGATGAAGATGACCATTTATCACACACCTGAAAAGATGCTTCCTTTTTTTGCTGGTCTTTTGATTTATTAAATAAAATCTAAATCTAAATGAATAAGATGAATTACGAACAACGATTTTTTCATTCATTCACAAATACTGTGTGATTATCAAAATATAAATTTTCATTGAAACAAAAATTTGTCCAATAATAATATGTTATTTTATTTTATTGTTTTGTAGTCGTTGTACATCATCATTTTTGATATTGGTATATCGTGATCATTTGTTTTTTCCATTCTTTCTTCAAAAAACAAATCAATTTAATTTCAATTTGTTTTTTGCACTCATTCAGATAATTCAAATTTACAAATGATGATTACATGATTTTGGTTGTTCATTGGGTCTCGTGTCTATTTGAATTTGCATTTGAAAATGATGTACATTTTATAATATTTAATTCAATTTCGTTTTTTTCAAATGAAATTTAAATCATATCCGATTTCATTTCTGATGTGTCAAAAGCACCCGTTTTTTCCAATGAACCAAGGATGTTATCTAATGATGATTGCTCACACACACCTAGTTAGTTATATTTTTTACAGATTTGTTTCCATGATGATCCAAAAAATCTAATTATTATTATTATTAGGTAATCTGTATTTTTCATTTTCACTTCACCCAACGAATAAATAAAAACAACAGATGGTTTACGCTATGACAAGACAAGCCTTGTATTTTTTTCAATTAAATTCATATCAATTTTTGAAAGAACAAAAAACAAAAGCAAATTTCCGTTTCTAATCAAAGATTGAAAATGAAAATCTTTCCTTTTTTCAGAAAGAAAAAATCATAAATCAATGTCATATGTTGACCACACACGCGCTTATTGTGGATTTTTGGATTAAAACTACTTACTTACTTTTTTTATGGATAATCTTTAATTCCTAATTTGATGTGGTTTTTTCAAAATTCTCTACAATTTTTAAGTAAGAGAAAAAATGAAATTTCTTTTCAATATTCAAGAGGACAATTAGGATAATTATCATCATCAATATCAATATGATTACGATGATGATGATTAATGAAGAAATTTCTCCACTTTGTTTTGTATCTTGTCCAAAGATTCGGTCAAAAGGATATATATGGAATCAATCAACAAAATAATAATCAATTTGGCCACCACAATCAGCAATCAAATTTTGATGAGGAAGAAAAAAATTCAGGCCATCGATTACCAATGTTCACATTATCAATGAATTTTTTCTCCAAAAAAAACAAGAAAATTTTCGACTAACAAATCAAGATAACGAAATGAAAAAAATTTTCTCATGATCAATACACAATTTCAAATTCAAATCTTTTTTCTCTCAAATAATCAAGGAAAATTTTTTTCATAACAACAAAAAACTAATCACCATTATCATCATCAGGGATAAAGACACAAGAGAAAAATAACGGTAAAGTCATCACGATGATCAATTTGAATAATAAAAAAAAAGATCATTTGATGATCACTTGATGATGAAAATCATCAATTCTGATTCCAGGAAAAAAATATGAATTTTTTTGAATGGTTTCTATTTTTATCTGACTTTAAAAAAATTGTTGAGATGGCAATGTTTTTTTTTCTTTTAGAAAAAATTGTCATCATCGTTTCGCATTTAATGGTCTTTTTGTTTGTTTGTTTAGAACAATTGAATTCACCGAGATGACGAGATTCATTTAACCTGTTGACATCTTGTCGGTATTTTTGTCAAGTCCGTTTTTCGCTCTATGTAAAATCCATTCGAAAAACATTTGATAAAAATATATATAAATGGAATGAATGTGTGAAATTTTCTCGAAAAAATGCCAAAATTTTATTCATTTCCGACCAATTTTTAAATAGAGAAAAATAATCAATTCAAAGATCATCAAAGCTGAATCTATGAACGAAACAAAAAAATTAGATCACACACTTATCTGGGATGGGCTTGCTTGCTATCCCCTTTTCACTTGGTTTTTCAAACAAAAAAATTTTTTGTCTGTATGTTGCGCCTTCTTCATCTTCAGCTTGCTCATCATACAAACGTGATTACATCATGTTCATCAACATTGACGTGTGTCTGTCTCTCACATTTTACTCTCTTTCCAAACATCTTTTTCTTGTTTATCATCCTTATTGGCTTATATCGGTGGATGATCATCATGTGTGTGTTAAGAGCCGCCTTCTTGCTTTTCTGCCCAATAAAAAAAGTCTTTTTGAGTGTAAATGTAATGTAATGTGATGAATGAATGAATCTGACTTGATAAAAATTATTTCTCAATGAAAATGGAAACTTTACAACAAAAATTTCAGAGAATAATATAAACCTGTTGACTCTATAAATGGAAATTGGATTTTTTTTTGTTTACCGAAAAATACTAATTTTTTAAATTATTCCGGTAAAAAATTCAAAAAGATTCAATGTAAATAAGAATTTTCATTTTCTTTCATCATCGATTATCATGACAAAATTCTCATGTTTGTTTTCAATGAGAATTTTTGATGTGAATATGAAAATGAAAATTTTCTGTTGTTGAAATGAAAGTTTTTTTCGTATTGGAAAAAAGAGGTTAGAAAAATTGACTAGAACGAAATAACGGAATATACCGTTTATATGTTTGTCTCTCCAAAAAATTAATCAGACACTGACAATCAAAAAAAGATTTTCGACTTCTTTCGCATGATGACGGCCATCAATGCCTATGCAATAATCACGTACTACGTGATACACATCGTGATCATCATCGTTATTCAATCAATGAAGAAGTGGAAGAAGTGGCCATTCATGCATGAACACGTGGTGAATTTTTTTGTTTTTTCACATGAAATTTAGCTTATTTTTGTTGTTGATGTAATTGCCAATTAGAACATTCCAAAAAATGATGATAATCAATGATCAAAAAAATTATTAGATTTATCAAATGAAAAATGTGATAATTTGACTATGAAATAAATGAAATTTCACAACATAAAATATCTTTGAAAAAAAAACCAATTTTCGGGGCCAACCATATGTGTGTTTCGCATCAATGGTCATCCTGGGAATGTAGATAATATTTTTGGTTCCAGGAACAGATCCGATTAATGTTATGCGATGATGATGATGGAACAAAAAAAGATGAATTTTAATCAATTTCATTTGATTCTTCATTGCGTGTATGCCTATCATCATCATCTTCCAAAAATCTTTTTTTTGCCAAACAAAAAAAACATGACATTTGTTAATTGGAAATACAGAAAAAAAAGATTCTTTCCGATTCATTATTCAATTCATTCATTATATTTAAACTGAAAAAATGATCGACAGCTATTGAAACGATACGATTCATTCATTCAAATGAGTTTTGGTCCATTATTATATAAATCCTTCATTCAAATTTCATAGACACAGTTCATATCGTGGTCGTCGCCGTATCATCATAATCATAATAATAGCAACATATAAATAATGAAATGATGTTATATCAAAGCAAAAAATAAAAAAATGTAATGTAATGGAATGGAATGGTTGAATTGATATTTCCCAAGAGAACGAAGAAAAATGTTTTCACACGCTACCTTCTACCATCAACCATCAGCCATCATCATTTAGTATCCAGCTAAATTGGCTATTTTTACATCATGATGATCATCATCATTGTCATTTGGACATGTAGTCGTTCGTCGTCATCGTCGTTATGGACAACCAGTAGAGTAGAGATACTGGTTTGTTTTATACGGTGTGTGTGATATCTTTGCAATGGATCATCATCATCATCAAGATGATATCATTGAGCCAAAAACAATACAAACATTTTTTTTCATTTCTTAAAGACGATCACACACAATCTTAGGTTTTTTTTGTATAAAAAGGTGAGAAGAAAGACCTATTATTAATGCCATTAATCACATTGTCTTTTTTTCGCCTGTTATTTTGATTATTTCGTTAATAAAATTGTTGTTGTTGTTGTCACAATTGTCATTTTCTTTATATTAAACAAAAATTCAATGATATCAAATGATAGCCGTATTCGCTATTCATTCGCTTGGTTGCTCGTAATTGTTGTAGCAAAGATAATGATCAGGATGATGATGATGACAATTTCATTGTCTTTTTGTGTGTGTAACAAACTGTGTCCAGTACTCTAATTGTCAGCCAAAAATGTCTTGATGATAAAGGAATTACTAGCTTCTTTACCATAAAGCTTGTACGATTTGGGGGAAGAAAGAAAAAAACGCAATAAACAGATTCGATGAATCACCAATAATCACACCTGATAGGAAAAAAATTGGACAAATCTTTTCTTTTAATGATTTAATCAACAAATTTGATTTTTTTTGGACAAACATTTTCAATTCATCCATTCATTTTGTTTGTTTGTTGGGTTGGTGTGAATCTATTTGTTTGTAAGGTGGGTAGTATGATGATAATTATTATGATGATCAAATGTTATGATAATAATGTCAACATTTTTAAATTCTCAAGCTAATCTTGATATTTTCAAATATTAAAATTCATATTTTTAAAATACAAATATTATGGTCATCTGAAGATTTGGATGGAGAAAATAATAATAATTAAGCAACAAAGATAAATCTGAGGCACAATTTGTCATCATCATTTTTCCATCGGATAATTTTGTTTTACAAAATTCATTGAGTCTTATTATATTTGTTGTTGAAAAGTTTGTCACATGATAATGTGATAAACCATTTTTGTCTTTAACCTTTGACCACATCATTACGATTGACGTAAACGAAAAACAAATTGCACTCACAATCAAGACAGAGGATAGATAGAATTAGTGATAAGTGAATATAATTTATTTTTGACAAAATATATTGACAATATTTGTTTTTGTTTTTCAAAACTTTCATTTTTTTCCTTTTTTTGATTCAGGACCAGTACTTTTAAGTTTTGTTTTTGTTTTTTTCGTTGTTTCTTTATCTTTTTTCTTTGATGAAATTGGGCTACTAATATGACCACTACCAACAGGTTTTTTCTTGGTTGCACTTGGACTATTTGATGGAGCATGTTTCCTCGATGTACTTGGACTATTTGATGGCGCCTTTTTTTTGGATCTGCTTGGACTACCAATATTACTAGAAGGACTAATCTTTTTCTTCGATCTACTTGGACTATTTGATGGTGGCTTTTTTCTTGATCTACTTGGGCTACCACTCTTACTACTATCATGTGTAGCATCATCTTTATAAGGTACTTCCGATACAACTGTTGATTGTGGAGTACTTATTGCTGATGATTCTATTATTGAACCTTTGAATGTTTTGCTTTTATCCTGTATTGATGAACTTAATTCAGTTTTTAAAATTGCCGATTGTGGTTTCGAATGCGATGTTGATGAATCCATCAATGCTGATGTACTTATTTTATTACTATTCAGATTATCAGTCAAGAATGAATCAGCTGAAACTGGTGGTGCAGGTTCAGCTGGTGGTGGTAATTTTTTCATTCCTTTTTTAGTTGTTTTACTCGATGGTGGTGGTGGTGGAGGTGGAGGTGGTGGTGTTTTGGTTTTAGCCTTAGCTTTGGCTTTATCCTTTTCTTTTTCTTTTTGCTTTTCTTTCTCTTTTTCTTTTTCTTTTTGCTTTTCCCTTTCCTTTTCCTTTTCTTTTTGCTTTTCTTTTTCTTTTTGCTTTTCCTTTTCCTTATCTTTATCTTTATCTTTGGTTTTGGCTTTGTTATCGGTTTTTCTTTTGGCTGGTTGTTTTTCATCTTTCCTTTTCGTATCGACAATTGATGAACTATCATAAACATAAACAGGTGGTGGTATATTTGATTTTAATGTTGATAATCGTCTAACATTATCGATCATTTTATCATGAGTAAAATAGCATTTGATTAATAGAAATGATTCCAACACTACAATTCCAAGCATCAATAGTAATATTAATAATGCTGTCGGTTTGTGAAAATTAAATAAAATGAGCAATATTTGAAATGAATCCATGATATTAATGATAGAAACTTACTTAATTGTGGATTAACCGCAACATCAACATTTAGAAATGTAGTTTGTGGCAGATATTTCCATCGATGGCCAGATATTAAAAATTTAATAATCATATCATCATCGGTAAATAAATGTAGATTAGAACTTAGATCAGAAAATGCATTCGTTATATAGGGAAATGGTATTGTTTTCGCATCCATCGAACAATTTCCATCAATTACAAGCGAATAATCTGAACATCTTCGATAAGTTAATGGTTTAAATGGTGAAAGTTGTTCATCAAATTGATAAGCCATAAGCGTTATTGTTTCTTTATCCTGTCGAACAAATCCTATTCCCTGATTTAATGTTGATACTGGCAATAAATTAGTATTATAATCTTCAATCTTTTTCATATCAAGAAGGGTTGCTTTTTTCTTATTTATATCAATAAATAATGCTGAATGATCACCATAAAATCCTAGCAAATTTTCTTTTGGTGATGGTGTTAAAATTGTCATATAACGATTATAATCGTTATCCAAAAATTGTTTATATAATGATAATTGTTTAATCCATGGATATCGTGTATATAAATCTACCGTATCCCGATATGGTATACGCCATGTTTGTGTCCACATATCTAATTCATCTACATTCACTATATAGGTTTGTTTGGATTTTGTAACCACAAATAATGATCTATTTGTTAATTGTCCAATTGTTAATAAATTACTTAATATTGGACCAAATGTAAATCCATTTACAAATCTATTGTTATTATCAATGTTGATGTTTATCATTATTATTGTTGTTAAAAGCAATAATATTAGCTTCTTTTTTATAATGGTCATCATCATTTTCATTTATTTAGTTTAAACCAAGACAAACCAAAACAAAAAACGAAATAAATACTGGATTGGAGGATGAAAAATTCCAATTTTAAATATAAAAATATTATATGTTTGTTGTGAAATTGTAGAAAAAAAAGATTCTAAATTCAATTTTCATTTGAATTAGAATTTTGCCGAATGAATTGAATTTCAATAAAAAACTAAATAATGATTTGTTTGATTTTTCTTCATTTTTCCTAAATTGTCAATAACACACACACACATTGTAAACGAAAAGATCATTGGAATGGCAAGTGAATAAAATTTGGTAATTTGTTATCAACAATGATAATCTTTTTCAAACATCTTGTTTGATGTTTTTATTTATTTTTTGTTTGGTTGTCTTTTCTGTTTTTTTAGAATCATCGTTATTCAATTCATTTTCATTCATTCATTCATTCATTGCAACAAAACCAATCATAAATTTTTTTAAAGCCGCCAAGTTGAACTTTGAAGATGAAAATTTCCATTTTCTTTCTTTAGATTTACACATCGGCCTTTTGTGTCCAATAATAATTCAAAAACAAAACAAAACAAATAAATTTACACAAATCTTTTTTTCCATAAACATCTTCTTTCAGAAACAAACAAAATGTCATAAATAATAAATAATGATCATTTTTTTGCATTGACTTTCGCCAAAGCCAACAACAACTAAACAAAAACAAAGCCTATTTGCATTTGAAATGATATTCAGCCAGGAATCACTTGCATCTGCAGCAGCAACCACCATCGTGATCATAATGAACACACATTTTGGTACGTGGTGATTATCATCAATTTCTTTTGAAGATGTCATGATTATTTATCTTCATTTATTCATCATTTGAATATCTTTGAATTTGGGCAAAAAAATGATCATTTATGTAAATCATCGGTGGCGGCGACAGCCATAAAATTGATGTTTTCAAATGATTATTTCAACATCTTTATTGCATCTTCAGTGGCTTGTTTGTTTGCTTGATAATCAAAATTCATTTGTTGTTCAAAACAAAACAAAAATCTGATAATCAATTTTTTTTTTGAATTTTAAATTTCTTCTAAGTTCTCTGCTGTTTATGGTTTTTTATTTTTTTGATTGTTGTTTATTATCATCATCCTTTTTAGATGTTAAAGTTGATGATGATGACAAGTTGTTGTTGGCAGGTGTTTTCAATGTTTTTTTGTTTGTTTTTAGCTCCTGTATAATATCGAAAATTGAGGATAAAATTTCCATAAAGTCATCATCGTTGGAAAAAAAGGTTTTTTCCTTTTTTTCATTGAAAATTCAAAACAGAAATTTTCTTTTTTCAGAAATAATCCTCTTTGATAAGTGAAAAGAATCTTGGGAGAAAATTTGGAGAAAACACCTGTCCTGTATGTGATGTATGCTGCATGTGAGGATTATCCTTGATCAAAAAATTTATTCAACCGGAATCGGTCAAAAGAAAGATTTATTTGATCTTTGATCATCATCGATGGAGATCATTTTTTTCTGCCAACTTGAAGAAAATAATGTTTTTTGTTTAAATAAAAATTATAGTTTTTGATGAATTAGAGCAGATCATATTAATTATATCTTAGTTATAATTAATATGCCCTCCATTTTTTCTCCCCCAATTACTTGTTACATTGTTTTGATTACATCATTCAAAATGGTCAAAAATTCAACTATTTTAACTCTAACAAGGTGAACAACATAAAAAAATCTATCCTATATCTAACTATCTTTTCATTTATATGACACAGAGTGACAATTATAATTCATTCATTTTAAATTTAAAAAAAGCTTGCCATAAAATATTATAGTTTTAAAAATGTTTTGAGAGAGATACCATTGTTATTCGAAATAGCATTATTATTTTTTATTATAATTTCTCTTCTTTTGGATGACCCGAATTTGACTATTCAACCGAAATTATTATTATGTAAATCGGTATTTATATTCAACAACAATTTTTTTGGTTAAATTCTTTTTTTGCTGTTGTCCAATATTACCATGTTGTTAGTAATAGTTGGCAGCCATGTTTTCTCACGCATTTTATTATTATTTAACAACAATCTTTGAATTTGTTCGTTTGTTTGTTGCTGGCACATTAATGATGATGGAGTAAATACCAACAATTACTTAAATTATCATTGTTGTTGAGGCAATTTTAAGTAACTCTTTTGCTTCATTATTGTTGGTCGGATAATAATAATAATAATAGTGTGTCGAAATGGATTCATGATTGATTTTTGAAAAAACAAATCCACTATTTCGACTCATTAGGTACGAAAAATATATATCATATGGCGCGCGTTATTGAAATGCCATGCCATGCCGTATAGGTGAACAAAAAAAAGAAAAAAAAAGAATAGCAGTATAGATGAGTGATGATAATCATGGATTCATCTGAGGTGGTTGGATATGTCTTGATGATACCACTACTTTGCTTTTTTTCGTACCACACCATTCTCAATGTTGAAGTTTCTGCCACCAAAATTTTTCTTCGGGAAATTCTTTGTTGAAAAAAATTGAAAAAATATTCATCCCGGAAAAATTGGATGAATTTGTTTAATTTTTAACTTTGTAATTAATTCTTGTTTTTAAAATCTTTTCATCATCCAAATAGAATTTTGCTTTCCATCACTCACTTTATTTGATTGAAATTGCCATTTTTGCCGGCATTTTTTTCGAAAAAAAGCTGTTGCTATAGATTCTCTATCGATCAATCAACGGCGAAAAAAATGATGAATGATTCTTCAGCATTGTTGCTTGAGCAACAACATAGTTTGAAAAATTCAATGAACGATCATGATCAATCGAAATTTAGCGAAAATTTAATTGTTATTAATTGTAAGTTTATAGTTTTTTAACTTTTAAATGTTTACATTCATTCATTTATCTCTCATTAATCAGGTGCAAGCAACAGTACATTACAAGATTTAAAAATTCCAAAATGTTCGGGAGTATTTACCTATAATGATAGTGATGTGCTAACATCAGTTACATCAAATCGTTACATTGTTTGGTATGTTTAGTATTATTGAAACTTTCGAATTTTTCATTTTTTTGAAATTTTTTTTTCAAAGGCAAACATATGATGATATTTTGGAACTTAATGAACATAGTTTACATCGTGATTTACATTATAATCAACTTAGAATTCAATTTAAGAATAGTTTAATTTTACAAAATGGTGTTTCTATTCAAGAAACTGCCGATAAAATTATTATATTGGTCACGACAATTGTTTCAGCTCATCGATTAATTTTTCGTCATCCACATCAATTGGTAATGAATTGATCAAATTTTTATTAGAATGATAATTAATCTTATGTATTTGGTTAGAATTCAAATCCAAAATCAATTGGTTCGTTATCTTGTTTGGGACCCTCGTTATCATCTTCAAATGATTCACCTTGTTATTCAATTTTTTATAATGTCACCTGTTTCGATGATTCGGATACAAGTTTTGTACAGCTGCAGAATTCATTTTCACAGAATGCAATTCTTGGTCAACCAACAATGTTACCATATTTGTCTGCATGTTCATGGGCGAACATCGATGACTTGGATGCATTTTTTATTTTATCCACTACTTCTGGTTCATTACAAATTATTCGTCTCCCATCGGCTTCAAATTCCAGTGAATCACAATCGGAGATTAAAATTCAAACATTTGACTTGAAACAAAGCAATCTGATTGGTAAATTAATCTCCGGTTATTTACCTTCGCTTAAGTAAGTTTTATTTATTTGTTTATCTACATCTCATTTGAATCAATTTTTTGTGTTATTTCTCAGTAAATCATTGGGGTCATTTGCTGTTGAATCAGCAATTTGTTTGCTTCAATATAATATCGGTGATGATAATCTAATATTTGCTCTTTGTCGTGATGGCCGTATACGAGTTATATCATTGAATCAACAATCACTATTACTTTGTCACAATATATTCAATCAATCGATGACATTCAATTCAAGAGATGTATCATCATCGGATAATAATAGCAAGACAGCTATTTTATCCACACAAAAACCAATATCAATGAAATTTTGGTGGTATGAGAATGAAACCTATTGGCCAAATGTAATTGTATATTGCACCGATACTCATTATAATCAATTTTATTTTTATCAAATAATATTGCCAAATCAATCATCACATTCACCAGGTAAAAATCATTCCATTAATCATCATTCAACGGCAAACTATTCAACAAATCAAGAACCACATTTACGTTATCTATTTCAACGTTGTATTCCTAGCCAATATGATTTGATTGATTATTTTGTTTGCAATAGTCAACTATGGGCAATGTGGCAGCATGATGAACAAATTAATATACAATATTATTCCATCGATACCAATTATAATGATGAACAACCATTCGAATGGATGCCCGTTGTGGCCGATGTAAATGCTTATCCAGAAATTGGTTCACGTTCACCATTAGTTAATCCAAGAGAATTTTATTTGAATGGAATTTTTTGGCAGGGGAATTTTTCCTGCCATACCATTGCCAAAGCGATTAACGTTTTGAAGCGTAGTATTGGTGATGAAAAATGTGTTGTAAATAATTTGCAAAAAATTGATCTATTAATTCAAGAAGCTATCAAACTTGTCGACAACATAATTCGTAATCAAGCTGACTGTAAATTGGAAATGAATGTTGATGAATATATTCAATATGAAGTTGATGCATGGAATAAACTTTATCAATTTTGTTTGGATTATCATGTTGCCGAAAATGAACCCTTATCAATATTTGTTGATCATAAAACTGGTATCAAGGGAATTGTTCGCAGATCACGATTGGAATTTATTGCATCACTGTCACCATTCGATGATATGATTAATCATTATTTTTTACATTGTAAACAAAATAATCGTATTGCTCATCAACAAAATGGTGATATACAATCGCCGTTTAATTATCGTTCCACACAGTCAAATTCAAACGATAGTTTTGATCTATTTTCCATTTCAGCATTTGAATATCGTTTAAATACTTTGATAAAACCTATACAAGATTCTCATCAATTAAATCAAACATCGGATATGTTTTCAACGATTGAAAATATGAAAAGTAGTATTCTGGCTTTATTACATGGTATGTCAGCTATTAATGTCACATTAAAAGATGAAGATCTATTGGATTTTGAAGCATTTATGCAACGGGTTTCCAGTTTTAGTACGGAAACTAAACTTTCATTAGTCGAAATAACGAAAAAAATTACCGAAAATTCTTTATTGCCTGAAATGTCATCACTTTCGGACCATTCATTTGTACCATTGATTGATGATTTTTTTGAAAAATGTCCACATGTTGTTGAAGCTATAAAATTTTTTATTCTGCAATTAAGTTTTGATTTTATGTCGAAAAATGAATTGAATGATTATTTAGGATTGAATAATGAAATGCAATTACTACTCACATCGAACAATGAAGATGCACATTGCAAAATGGATGAAGCATTACAATTCGAAATCAAACCAATGTTTGCTAATCTATTATCAAGTCAATGTGGTTTAAATTTTACTGTTTCAACAATTCAACGAATCATTCAAGCACGTTATAAATTTTGTCGTGATTTATTCCTGCTACAATATATGTTGACAAGTTTTCATTCGAAAGTTAAAAGTGATTATCGTACCCGGATTATTCATGATGTACAAGCATTCATGATACCGGCAACATCGCAAGTAATGTTTGCATTGAATCATTTGAATTGGATATCGGAAACACCAATGATAACACCAAATATTTGGTGGTCTGAATCAACATCATGTGATAAACTTTATGGTGGTATTACATCGATTGTTAACCTGAATACTTCACCTTCACAAAATTTAACTGGTTCGAATCGTGGTTCATCATTTGAAAACAGTGAATTATTGTCAGTGTTGGAAATGCGTGATTTTATCAATTTGAATCGTGTTGGCCTATTGTCACATGAATCAATTTTCTACGATGCTTATCCTCGTGCAAACATATTGTATTTATTTTGTCAATTTAGTGGTGGTATTTTAGCTAAACGATTACTAAGCTATTCACTTACCTGGGAATATAACCAAGGTCAATTGGATCAATCTACATTGACAGGTGATGGTATCTGGTCAAATTTATTACCCATGTATATGGATTCCATTTGTCAATTGGTATGGCCTTTTTCATCCGGACAATTTAAATTGGCTGAATTCCTGTTAGGTATTGGTCAATATCATCTGGTCGAAAGATTTGTTGATAAATTACATCCATGGTGTAAAATGTTTGCATATAGTCGATATTTTGCTCGTGGAATTTGCTATCTAATGACTGGTGAAGGTGATAAAGCAATTATCAAGCTGAAACAATCTGTTTATGGAATCAATCAGGAACCATTTTTATTCAAAATATTCGCTCAACGACCAAAATCTGTCCAACTAACTGATAAAGAAATTGCATCAACTTTAGATAATGATGATAACACGAAAGAATCGGATTCTATTTTACGCAAAATTCATTTGAAAAAACTAAATGATGCTAAAACAATTCTTAATGCTCGAACATTGTTTCGTTATTATAACAAATTAATTCATCTGTTTAATCGTTATTCAACTTATGATTTGGTTATTGAACTGGCCAATTGTGCATTGAAATGTTTAGGGCCGGATTTTGATCCAGAATTCAATCAACATAGTTCAATATTACATTCAATATTATTTTCCTGCCATCTTCGTTTGGGAAATATTGATCAAGCTTATAAATCAATGATCGATAATCTGGATCCTGATCAAAAACAAAATTGTCTTCGACAATTTATTGTAAATCTTTGTGAAAATGGCCAATTAAAACAATTAGTTAGCTATCCATATATTGATTTGGAAGATAATTTTGTTTCAATTTTGGATTCGAAAGCTAGATCATCATCTTGTCTGATAAATGATGATCATGAAGGAAAGATGGAAAAATCTATAAATTCATTGAATCGTCAAAAATCAACCATATTGGAATCTGAATCAAGTCACTCAGTGAATTATTTTCACATTCTTTATAGCTATTTTATCAATACCTTCAATTATCGTCGTGCTGCGCAAACAATCTATGATTATTATCGTCAATTAAATCAAGAATATAGTGGTGGTGAACATCAAATATTAAAAATTCAAGCAAATTGTTTATTAATTGCTAGAAATTGTCTTAAATGTTTGGATGATTCGAAATATTCATGGATTGTTAAAAATTCGTTGAAAAAAACTACTGACGATACAAAACAACAAATGAAACGTAAACGTGGATATTTTTCTTCGGATGATAATGATAAAAATTGTAATTATAATGTAAGTATAATTCTTTATGCATTATTAACTATTAACTTGTAACATCTTTTTTCAACTACAGCAAGATAAAACCATCATCGAAATTGTTGACGATGAAGAATTGTTGCGTGAATATTTGTTGATTGATGCACGATTAAAATTATTGGAAAGAAATTCGAAAGAATATGCTATAGCTTCATCACCATTAAGTCCCGATGAAACGGTTATTCTTTGTACGGATGCATCATTATATGAACAATCATTCAAAATATCCGAATTGTTTTCACTACCACTCGAACCGATATTCGATGGTATGGCATCCAAATATGTTCAACTTTTGAATGGACTTTATAATCGTCGAAGGATCGATGATGAAACAATGTTGGGATTATTGGCACAATCTAGTGTTGTCGATATGGATCCGGAAATGATGATATCACCAAAATTAAAACTGCCAATCGATGAAAACAATTTCAGTGTAGATTTGTTTGATATTTTCTATGAAAATACTGCATCCAATATTGAATGTGATTATATTTGTTATTCATCATTATCGATATGTGATCGAATGTGGTATCTTATAATGTATTATTTATATCGCTATCAACGTCAACCACATATATCAACCGATTATTTCAAAACTGTTGCCGAAAAACTTTTATCCAATGGTATTATGATACCTGTTTCCTTGATGAAAATCTATCAGGTTTGTCTTTATTTTTTCATTGATTTTCAATGAATAATTAACTTTTGTTCATTTTTTCTATAAACAGAAATCGAATTGCCCACAATTACTTCGTTTGTTGATGACTTATAATTTCCTAACCGAAGCTACTCAATTGTCTATTGATTATATGAATGCATTTATGGGTCATGGTGTTGAATATTTTGATCTCAAAGTATGAAATATATTATTTGAATTGTGATTTCAATTTGATTGTTGTTAACCCCTTTGTTGTCATTTTAGAATCATTTGTATCCAAATTGTCCACCACTTTGTATTCCCATGCATTTGTTTGATTGTTTGGCAAAAATTTTGGCCGAAGAAAATGAACGAAATCGTTACGATACAAACAAAACCGAAACAGAAAAATGGCAAAAATCTTTATATTCAATCAAAGCAAACAATGATCAAGGTGATAATGATAGTGAAGCTGTTGATGATGATGATGATATTCGATCAGAAACAATTATCGATTATGATTCTGTAAGTATGATCTGTTGAAATATTTTTAAAATCATTGTTTTTCCTTTTTTCTTATGTCATTCTCGTTTAGCTATTACGAAACCTGAACAAAACCAAACAAAAACTAGAGCAAACAATCATTTCATGTTCAAACGTTTGAATGCAACGCTACGGGGGAAAACTTTGATGAAATTTAATGAAATTTTCAATTTTAAACAAAATTTTGATCAATTTCCTTTTTGTTCATATCATTCATTTGAAATAATAAAATAAAATCATTTTCTTAAATCTCATTTTCTTTGTTTGATTCGGTGACCAATAGATGGTGATGATTCCGATTTTTTTCTGCAAATAAAAATGGCGCCATTATAGACTATTCTTAAAATTAAGCCAATTAACATGGCAACAAGCAAATTCCAGACATTAAAGAATTGTAATTAAATTTAATTGTTTTGTCTTTCGTATAGTAATTAATGTTGTCAAAAAAAGAAAAAAATCATTATAATATTCAAATACAACATTGACATGGCTATTTTAAATTATATAATTCAATGAAACAAAAAAATTTCAATCAACAAACAATTGATAATGTTGTATGAATGTGGAATGAGAAAATGATGATGATATTTATCAAAAATCATAATAATAATACAAATATAGGGATGGATAATAGTGATGAAAATATTGTTGTCCATTTCGATGATCCTGGATAACCGCCATTGTTGCGTCTTTGATTACGATTCTTTTTATATGATCTATCTTTACGTATTGTCGAATAAGAGAGTTGATCATCATCATCATTATCACCATCAATAATGTCCTCATCGTCATCGTAATCATTGTCGAATGATGATGATACGTTCGGTGTTTCGTTCGGGAATCCATATTGATTATTTGGATCTTTGTTTTTTGGATTCATAAGAAAATAAAGAAAAAAAATATTAAAATTCAATTGGAAAATGAAGCAAAATATAACGATGAAAAAAATCGAAATTCTTATCTCACATGCGACTATGTTATCATCATATAAGAAATAAAGTAAGTATGTATTGTGTGGAGCAAGAAAAGAAAGAAAATTACATAATTATTCTCATATGGCCTATTAGAAATTTTTTTCTTTTCTCTGGATGAGCTCTATTCAACCAGACACACACATACATGAAGATATCACTGGAATTACTTCATTTGCTTTCATTATTTATTTGGTCTCAATCAGAATGAAGAAGACCAAAAAAATCGAAAGAAAGTAGAAAAAAAATTCTATGATGATGATAACGAAAAACAACAATGTCTTACATAACAAAAAAAATATGAATAGCGTTACCATCATCAAAGAATCTTGAAAGAAAGAAAAAGAAAAAATAAATTTATCGATTGATAACTCCAAATGATGGTAATGACGATGATGATGAGCATCATCATCATTTGGACTCAAGAATAAAAAAATGATGACGATAATGACAACAACAAAAAATATATTTGAAAAATAATGATCGAAATGATGATAGTGATCACAATATAAATATATGATATGCTATGTATAAGAGATGAGATTTTCTATCAAATTTGCACCATATTGGTAGATCATCATCATTTTGCTGATTGAAAATCAAAAAAAAACTTGAAATTTGAATTTTTTTCACACACACACCCACTCACTCACTCACCACACACAGATAATATATTAGAGAGGAAAAAATCAATAAAATAAACAAGACATTTTTTTCAAAGTTCAAATGTCCAAACTTTTTCGTTTTATTAACATTGTCATCACCTATAGTTTGTGTGTGTGACACTAATATTACACATCCCTTTGAACATTGCAAGCTAATTTATGGTGGTGGCCAATTTTTTTCCTTCTGAATTCAGGGAGAAAAAAACTTATCACCAACATCATCATAGTCATTAAGAAAGTGGTTACTGTGAAAAAGTTTTTTATTTTACACCAAAATATAAAAATTCATTTACAATGGTGATTTATATGTGGTGAATAGATATGGAATACAAAATGCGATTCATTCACACAATGTATCATGATGATGATAATGATACATAATGTGTGTGTGTGTAGAATCCTGTTGAAACAAAAAAAATGATATGATAAATCTTGTCATCTTGTGGTCGTGGTTTTCACTGGTTACACCAAGTTAATTTCATTTATTTCAAATTGAATTGAATAATGATCGTTTTTTCTTCTTTGGTAAAAAACAATTGTCGTGTAACACTCAAATAAATTGATTCAAACAAGAGAAATGATGATGATGATAATGATATGAATCATTTTTTGTTGTTGGAAATGTTATCATCAATTCGTTTTATTCGTTGGAAAAATTTGAAATTCATGATTTTTGAAATAATAAATGTATCATCAACATTTAAAGTGAACATTTTTCACAGACCATGTTCTAGGTTTTTTCATTTTATTTATCAATTTGGAATGTTTGTTGTTGTTGTTTTTCATCATTTCAAACATTTGATTTGTGTTTTTCATAATAAAAAAACAAGTCAAGAATTGAAAAATTATCCTAACTGAATTCATCCATCGTTCATATTATTCGATGAATTTTTTGTTTTCTCAAGAAAAACAGCAAAACCAACAAAAACAACGAGAAAAAAAACAAACATCCATAGCGAATAACAAGACAAAAATTTTGGATTCATTCCATTTGATGATGATGATGCTTAAAGAGAAAAAAAGAAATTCATCATTGCTTGCACATACACACCAACAATGATGAAAAATGTGGATAAAATTTGAAAAATTTCTCTATCACAACAACCATGACGACTAGATAAATTGTTGGTGCCCGAATTTCTTTTTGGTTGTTTGAAAAATCTTTGAAAAACATCTTAACATGGTATAACATGTGTGGATTGCCCGAAAAAAACAATTCAATGATGCAACATTATTCATCATTGTTTCATTGAAAAAAATAATAAATTTTATAAGAAAAACGAAAGAATTCCACATTCATCTTTCACTTATGCTTGCTTGGATTTTCTTCGTGTTTTCTTTTTTTCATCGTCTATCTTGGAATATTTTTTTTGATTATTTTTAGTCGATATAACGAATGATGATGGCACTTTTTGATATTTTGGCTGGATCACTTTGCTGGTCGGTCGGTCGGTCGGTGAATCGTCCATTAATTCTTATGTTTCGTTTATTTCTTATCTCTATGTGTGTATCTTTCTTTTTCTTTTTCGTTTTTCTTTTCCGCTTTGCACACCAAGAATACGATCCTTGTTTACCGTGATAGTTGAAATAATCGTTTGTCGATTAAGGTTGAATATCCATCATCTTTCATCTCCATAGTAGACATATCATCATCATATCAGTGAGAAATGTTATTTATATTTATTCCACACATTTGTCGCCATCATCATCATCATGATTCAAATGAATGAAAAGAATGGTGGAAAACAAAACAAAACAATACAATTCTTCGCTTGGTTCGTTCGTTTGTTGTGATTAGTTTTTTCACTCTCTCAGATTCATCATTATTATCATCTTTTGGAGAATGTCGATTTGAGCTTGAATTAACACACACTAAACCAAGCAAACAACAAGAATTAATTAATTGTTGTTAAAATGAATTAAATTCAACAACGAAAAATTCGCGTTTTTCTGGTTTGCACCCAAAAATGATTTTAATGAATTTTTTGTCCGGCTTGACCTTGTGATTGAATCAAGGCAAGATTATTATTCCAAAGTTTTTTTTGGTCGAAATCGATTTATGCTAAGGAACACGACAACATAATTCATTTAAAATGATTTTTCTTAATTTTGATTTTGACTTTGAATATTCAATTTGAAATCTGATCGGTAGGAGAGAAAATTTATCGATCGATTAAACAAGTGAAAAAAAATTGAAATTCATTTGATTTGGTTGATATATGTGATTAGCTAAGCAAATTTTGTTTTGTTTTTCCGCATAAAAAATGATCAACATTGGAATGTTGCTGTCAAACAAAAAAACAAAATGAAAAACTTGCATCAAAAAAAAAGATTATTCATCAAGAATATGTTTATATTTTTTTGGGAAGTTTCTCAAAGAAAAATGATCTAGAATTTCCGAATTTTTTTCAATATTCATTTTATTCGATCACCGATATCACATTAATGATTGATCAGTCGATTGAATTTTTTTCAAAATTTCATGAAAAAACAAACAAAAAATATCGGAGCTACGCAATACACTGACATTATGATCAATATTTGTTTTTTTTCGGAACGAATATCGGGAGAAAAAACATTAACATTTATTGATGTTGTTGTTGTTATGGTTATTTTTGGATATTCACGAGTTACCGAACTAGGCCACAATTTGGACAAAGTCAAAAATTTTAGAATCAGTTAGAAATGAACGACAATGACGATAAGTTGTTTGCTTGATCTCGACACTAAACGATCAAATTGTTTTCTGAATTTTGTCGTGCCATCCATGCAAAAGATTTTCTTATTATTTTTGGCTGTTTTTCGCTCAAAAAAATATGAATGATTCTTGGAATGAATCCGCCAAGTTAATCAAATTTATTATAGAAAAATCGATTTTTCCCACATTGTTTTACAGTAGAACCAAACTTAAACCCAAAAATAAAAATATTTTCGGTGTATTCCGAAATTGTTTGCTTCATTTTTTTACATTTGGCCCTAATTTATCATTAATTTGCGTTTCCAACAAGTTCCATCAAAAACAACAATATTTTCTTAGATGAAATTGTAACAAAATATAATAATGGTTGCTAATAACGCCAGTAACAACAATAATAACCGAAAAAATGAAATAAAACAGCTTTTTAGGCTGTTTAGTTTGCTGTTCATTCATTCATTCAATTTTACCTAATAACTTAAAGTGAACAACACTCAAACAACAGTAGCAGTGAAAAAATCAATTTATGAATTAAGATTATTAAATTTCAATATTCCATCAAAACATTTTTTGTTCGTTTTGCTTGCTTGCTTTGCAATATGGATGGAAAGAATTTTCTTTTATTTTTTTGGACAATAAAATTTTCATCATCATCAGCAACGACGATTCTCTGTGCAATGATAATAAAAACATGATGATAATTTTTTGCAATAATCATCATCATCATTGAGTAAGATAATAAAGGTAATTCTCTTCAAATGTCTGTTTGCTGATGAAAATAATATAATCAACAATAATTGATTAGGCAACAACAAAAAAATTTATCATTTTTGTTTCTTTGGAAAACAAGAAATATTCAATATGATTTTTCTATTTTCCTAAGTGATTACTTTCGGTGATGATGTACACCTGTATGTGATGATGACGTTGATTTGAGTTTGGTTGATTGGTGATGAAAAATCATTTCCAAAAATGATATTAAAAACGTGAAATCACGTAATTGAAATGCTGGAAAACAATTTTTTTCTCTGGCTCTCCAATTGGAAAATGACCAAAAAAGAATTCTACTATTACATTACGTGCTTATGAGCAATTTTTTGTCGATCATTTTTGATGTGATATGATTTTTTTGTTGTTTGTTTGCTGAAAACTTTTCTCAATTTCTCAATATTGAGAAATTGGTCCAAATGAAAAACAAAACAAAAAATCATTGTTTTTCATAAATAAATTCTGATTCAGTGTTTTGTGTAAAACCACCAACAACAACAAAAATATCATCATCATTTGTGGTGTTCGATTTGACTTTTCAAAATTATTAATAGTTTGAACAAATGTATCGATTTGTCTGATCTTTCAGTACCTTTATTTGAACAAAGTTTTTTTCAAAGTTTTTATTTGATGTAGCAATATGGTTATCGGTTTGAACACAACCCACGGGATAATGACATTTTTTCTCTCTTCATTTTGATGGGGAGAAAAAAGGTCATCATTTTGAAAAAAGTTCAGATCAATTTTCTTTTTCATTTTTAAATTTTGAACAAACTTTGGAGCTTGTTGTTCACTGAATTATCATCATTGAGTTGAATAAAAAGAAAAAATTTCAGTAAATTTTTTTTTCTCAAAAAATCAGATATCAACGAACGTGAATGGGTTGGCCTCTTATTGTTGTTGTTATGGAATATTTCCGGAACAAAAATACTACACGGAAAAAAATACGGGAAACAAGCCAGCAAAAAACCAAAGAAAGATAAATAAAAATTTGAATATTTAAAGAAAAAGAAAAAATCTCTGGTACTTTAGATGAATGGTAAGCGCGTCGATAAATCGATTAAATGTACGACAAACAAAACATACACACATTATTTTCCGCCGCTGCCGTTTTTCGTTCGGACGACAATGTCAATGATGATGATGATGAAATTATTCATAACGAGCTTTTTGCAAAACGATCAAACTTTTGATATATAAAAAATAAAGCATAGTTCCAATAGAAATTTCAAAAAAAACTATCAAAAAATAGACTATTATAAGCTATGGGTTTATGAAGGCATATATTTGTTTAGGTTTTGAGATTGAAAAAAATGTTCATTATCTTAATATTAATAATATTAGTGTGATTTTTTCAAATAAAGAAAATTTTTTTCATTATTCAAAAAACCGATATTTAAAGAGGATTGTTTCGTTGGTTCTGAAAGCAAAGCAAAACGATCGAAAATGATGCGGTTACCCCGTTTGATGAAAATGATGATAATGTTGGTGGTAAACCACCTTTTTTGGGGGGATCGCTGTCATTATTATGATTGTGTTATGTTGGTGTTTGGATAGGCAAAAGCGGTAGCCAACGAAAAAAAATTCAAAATGATTAATGGAATCAAGCGAAAGCCGAAGCATCGTATCGTGCCTGTATGTGAATCGAGAAATTTTTTTGCATCATTTCAGAGAAAATCCTTATTATTCAGAAAAATCATTTTTTTTCTTCACCAAAAAAATCTTTACAATTTTTTTGCACTGTTCTCTAACTTGTTATTAATCGTAACAAGAAAAAATTCAAAATCTCAAATAATCTTTGCATTAGAACAAAAAAAATGATTTGATTTTTGTCAAAATCATCATCATTACCTTTAGATATGGTCCATTTTGATTTTTGTTTCTGTTTTCGATTAATTCTAAATGGCCTAATTGTTGTTGTCGTTGTCGTGGGCCTTGTTGTGCTCGTTGTTGTTGTCGTGGTTGTTGTTGTTGTTTTAGGTGTTGGTGGTATTGGTGGTGGTGTTTCTATTGTTACGAAACAGGTTGAAAAAATACAAATTTCACACCAAAAAACTTACCATACAAACGAATTAATCCTTCTTTTTTACCGATACTATTATGGCCACTACATTTATAGCTACCATAATCGGCCAATTGTAAATTTCTGATTATCAATTTCATAGTTGTACGGTAACCATTTTGTTCTTGTTCGAAATGATATTTTTTCTTATTATTAATTTGATGATTATTATCATTGAATGATGAATCAAAAACATTGTAATGATGATTATTGGTTGATGATTGATGTTCAATTGTTGTGGATGATAAGTCATCATCAAAATTTTCCATCATTTTATCCAAACGATTACCATCACCGTTTATCCAATAAAGTTCTGGTCTTGGTGATGCATCAACATCACAACCAATGATAACATCACTACCTAAATAGCTACCAATCAATTGTTTATGTACACGAATTTTTGGTGGAACTAAAAGAATTTTTTGCAATCATGAAATAAGAAATAAACAGACACTTGAAATATTCAACTTACAATTCACTTGAAGAACAATTCGCTTACTAACTGCTGGTTGTACACCATTGTTAGCAATACAAAGATAGGCTCCCATATCATCACGTTTGACTTGTGTTATGTTTAAATATTCTCCTTGCCAGTTTGGTTCTATTGAATAGGATATATTTTAAAAGAATATCATTAATATTATTGATGATGATATTGAGTTTGAAAGAGAGATTACCGGCAATTTTTTTACCACCATATTGGCCAAGATTGAGCGATTTTCCATCTTCACGACGCCACGTTATTGAAGGAGTTGGATAACCCAGTGTAGCACATCTTAATGACACTTTTGATAGTTCATCGACAGTCGTGTCGGAACTAGTAAGCTCTTCATTTATCACAGGTGGCTCTATTTTGGTTATTGAAAATGTAAATTTTTATAAACCGATAGAATTAATGAATTTGATTCGTTTGTTTTGCTGATTGCTTACCAAAAACATCAAGATATCCGATTTGTGAGAGCATTGTTTTGGCATTAATTTGGCACATATAAAGACCGCGATCATTAACTTGTACACGATTGATATGTAAATACCAATGATTTTCATTCTGTGTAACACGATATTTTCCTTCATCTTCATTCATCAATGTATTCGTACCTAGTGTCAATAATGTTGGTGTGGAATTTTCATCCATTTTAAGCCAGGCAGGCTTTTTTTTGTTTTAAAGAAAGTAAATTTTTTGTTCAGAAAAATGGAATATATTTTCAATCAAAAAATCATCAATATTGTTTTTGAAAAAACTTACTTTTGATGGACCATTATGATTTGTAACACATTTCAATATAGCTTGACGACCAACAGTAGCTGTTACATTTTCAATGGGCAGCATATATAATCCAGGTAATGATTGGGAATATTTTTGCTGTTGTTGTTGAGCTGGATATTGAGAATTCTGATAATGATGATTATGGTGTGATTTAATTGGATTATTCATTGAATCAATTGATTCATTTGATAATTCGATCATGGTTTGTTTTTGATACGAAATGCTATCATCATTTACAATTGTTTTTACTACTGGTCGTAGTTTAGGCAACAATATTGAAGATGATGAAAAGGCGTATCGATGTGGTGATAATGTTGTTGATCTTTTTGCTTTCTTTCGATATAATAATGGTAAGGAACGTCGTCGTTTGATGAAATGAAAACGGTGATGAATTTTTTCATTATTTCGTTTGTTGTTGATGGATAATGAAGGCTGAAATAAACAGGAATCATCATCTTGATCAATGAAAGGCGTTATCGTTGTTGACAATTGTTGTCGTCTAATATCGTTGAGCTTTTTTATTGATCCTATAATTCGGTGATGATGATGATCTGTAAATTGAATAAGTAAAGCATGGTAAGAAAGAAAATAAATATGGTGACAAACAAGACTTGATAAACTTGACCAATAACAACAATGATGACAACAACTAAAACATCTTGATTAAGCCATCTTCTCAAGTGGTTATTGTTGTTTTTTTGTTTTGGTCATTTTCAATGCTCAACAACAATAAATTGATTAGATTCAAGTGTGTGCATTGTTCGATTGTTTAAACTGATTCTGGTTTTGCTTTATCTCTTCGGCTATGATAGATATAACTGTGTTGACAAAATCAAATAAAAAATGAATAAGTGTGTTTGGTACGGGTCGGAATCAAATCCAATTGAAGTGTTTGTCTAAGAATCTTTTGTTATTTACCCGGTTTTTTCCAAGTCATCCAACGAGGAAAAAAATTTCATTGTTTAATAATGATTTTTTTCAATCAATTTCATTGCTTATCATATTTTGTTTGCTATTAGATTTAATCAATATTTTCATTTTGCATTTTGATTGTGATCAATCCGAAAATCATTATTATTAATTAGAATTCAATTGGAAAAATTGGATAATAATCAAAAATCACAATTTGATTCGGTTTGATTGGATTGGATTCAATTTCAATTTCAAAGTTGAATTGTCAATTGTAGTTTTCGATGCAATCGATTTTTTTCTATGATTACAAATCCATGTAATTAAAATGATAATCAAACATTACACCGACACACTCAAACGAAACTAGCGATGCATGAAAACGAAATTGATAGAGATGATGATGATTTGAAATATGAATATAATTAATAGCAATGATTATTTAGTCCAAATTAATATATGTTTTTTCAATTTCGGTTTTTCACTATCGTTTTGTTTGGTTCAAATCCGGAATGAGAATTTCAAAAGGGTAAAGATCAAAGCATAACGAAATTTTTCACAATTAAATTCATTTTGATTCAGAAATATGTTAATCAAAAGTCTCACCAAGAATCGAATTTAATTCTATTTTTTTACGGGGATTTATTGCAGTAAATTGCCATATATAAATCAAGATTGACTAACATTACACCAACATACTTGATACTTGGTATTCACACATATACGTGAAACCAGACCAAACCAACAAAAGAAAGAAAAGTAATAGCCCGATCCACATGATATGAAACAAATTAATCGTTTTTCTCTCTTTCTCTCTCAGTCACTCACTCACTTCTTTTAGCCAAAAAAGATGATTATTATTATCATCATCATCATCATCAAGGATCGTTTCTTAAATTAGAGGATTAGATAAAATCAACGTTTTTCTCCGAAATAATAAACGAAAATCATGGTAAAGTATGCTGCTGCAATTGACAAACATCCCAATCGTTTTCGAAATCGGAAAATATGAGAAAATTACGTTAAGACATCACTCTGTCTATATTGCGGGCAAATTTATGGCCAAAAACATTCATCAATATTCGTTTGGTTGGTTAGAATAGATAACATTATAGATGCATTATCATCATCATCGATTGGATATAATTGAATGATGATAATTATTATGTCCAAACGAACAAACAAATATATCATTAACATTATTATTGTATTACCAGTAATGATTATTATTGAATCATCATTTCTCTATAATGATCATAATTAGTATTGAACAAAAACAAACAGAAAAAATTGGTTGAGTAAACATAATGTTTATTACTAATTATAATATAATTTTTATTGATTAATCTTGATTTTTGGTTGATTGATTGACTATCAACATGCTATCGCGATACAATCGATAGTTGTCAATTCTTTGCAATTTTTTTATTTGTTGGCCCGTGGCATCCATTCGAAATGATGAGAATATTTGAAAAGAGTGATTCACAAAAATGGATTTCCTTATGGTTTAACCATCAAAATGATGATCATGATCAAGAATCTAAAGTGAAAAAAACCAACAACAAAAAAACTGATTTTGATTTTTCAAACAAAAACTTGTCAATCGGTCGATTGGTTTTCCATCACCAAGAAAAAAAATTTAAACTTGGTAAAGAATAAAGGAGAAAAATCAATCTCTCCATGTTGGTTGATTGTTTTTTTTTGCGAGCCAAAATCAAATACACAAACACACCACATATATACCAAACAACAAATGACAAGATACCGAACCGAAAAAAAAACAAGAAATAACGATAGAAAATCGATTTTTTCCGTTGTTGTTGTTATTGCTTGATTTCTTATTCGCCTAATTGATTCAAACACATTGGCTCGTTTGAATGAAATAAATTTTTAGATTGAGGAAAAACGCAAATAATCTTATGATGATCATTGAAAAAAGACATCATCATATTGGATTGGCAATTGATTTTTTGTTTTTTGACTATCAATGTTTTTTTGGCATGAGCGGCGGCATCCTATAGGAAAAACTTGACTAAAACCGACCGATTGAATGTTTTGATTTGATTTTATATTTTCTTAAATTCTCAATAACTTATATGGGGAAAATAGATAAATAAACCATGTCCACAAAATTCATTCAATCATTGTTATAATGAAATTTTTTCGTTGGAATCAAATACAAGAAAAACAAAAAATAAGATACAATTACACAAACCAAACAAGTAAAGTTAGAAATAAAAATGAAAAAAAACAATCCATAGAATCTGTGGACAAAATTCTCTTGATACCCGAAAAACTGAAACTGATTTGATATGTGAATCGAAATCAATGCTAAACATCTTGTGATTGTGTTGGTGTGTGATGATTATAAAATAAAGAAGATGTTTTTTTGCTTATTATTTTTATTATCATTTCGATACAAAACACCCAAAAACAAACGACAATCGGAAGCTAATTGAACTTTTTTTGTTCATTTGTCGTTGTTTTTCACTTCGTTATTATGTTTGTCAAACTACCAAGAAACAAAAAAAAATAAATAAAGAAAAACTGATATTCTCATAATATCATTCCCTAGCCGATAACCGAACGAAAAAAAATGAAATCAATTTTTGTTTGTATGGTGGATTGTTTTTTGTTGGTTGTTAAATTGTTTATTATGATCAAACACAGATCATCAACAATGATTTCCTTAAGGGTAAATCTGTTTTTTGGTCATTTGGAAAACAAAACAAAAAATTATTAGGGAAGGGGCAAGAAAACAATTGTCAAAATCACCAAACAAGCAATCAAGCCAAAAATCAATTGCAAGTTTCAATTAACTTTTTGTTTTTGTTTTATCAATTTCTTTTTTGTTATGACTCCTCCTATCATACGCATAGCACATTATCATTAGTTTGAAAATGATGCAAAACAAAATGATTTCCATTTGATGGTCATCATCATCATCATCTTAGAAGTAATGTAATGTAAAAGTTTTGTCTCTTCTCTGTCTATATTTGTCATATTTTTCCCTGGACTTTGTTCATTTGGGAGAGAGACAAAATATGAAACACAATGATGTCATTTTCTCGAATGGAAAAACTTTATCGTTTTCGCTTGGATTAAACGGGTTGAAAATGAGAAATTTTTCTGTTCAAGTATCGAACCTGACATTAAATCAAAAGTTTTTTTTTCTAGCAAAAAAAACTTATTTTCAAGTGAATAAACCGGAAAAATAAGTAAGAATTTTGTCTCTCAATTTGTCTCAAAAATGATGATGAGAGAAAGTGAAAGAAAAGTTTGATAATGATGACCATCACCGTCATCAGTGATTTTTTTCAATGATTTTGTTTGTTTGGTACAGAGAAAAAGGGTTGAAATATAAAGTGTAATGAAAAACAAAACTTTTACTAATCAAAGATCAATCAATCGATTGATTTTTGATGAAAAGGAAAATATTAGACAAACCTGTTTGTGGCCAATAATCATTATCACTGGATTTTTTCGACAATATTTGGCCAATACTGCTGGATTGATCATGATGATTCAATGATGATGATGATGATGATGGTTTTGGTTCGACACTAACTATATATGATGATTGAATTTGATTATGATGATTATTTGATGATGATGCGGAAACAATGATGATGCTAATGTTTATCAAAAATAGATTTGTAATGATTGCATACAACCATAACGATGATAATGATGAACGATATTGATCAAGATCAAACAATGACGACGATGATGGTGATGAAGGCAATAATAGATTTTTCGATACAAAATTCATTTCAATTTTCGATCGATCCAATCGTTTTGCATGTTTCATTTTGACAGCCATTGTTTCCCAATCTTTTCTCATTTTTATTTTCATTTTGAATTTTTATTAATATTTAAAAATTCATTCTTTTTTGTTGAAAAATGAATGCAACAAAATCAATTATTTTTTGTGAAACACAGAGAGAGATAAAATCTAAACATTAATGAATGAATGAACAAATCACAATGGTTGTTTGTTTTTTGTTTTTCTCTGTCATTTTTGTTGTTGTTCATTTACATGTAATTATCGTGTTGGATCGTTTGTTAATCGTTCGATTCAGTGAAAAAATGTAAATTCCTGTCAAAATTTGTTTTAGTTCCGAAATAACAAATCGATTTGAAATTCAATTTTAGGCTCCAATTATACTTTGTTATAATGTTGTTGTCAAAAACGAATTTCGGATTATCAGATTTACTCGATGCTAATGATGTTGTTCACGATGATGATGAACACTATGGGAATTTTGTAAAAAAATTGAAAAAAAATTCAAATTTAATTAAAAGTTTTGACAATCAACAAAAAACAACAGCAAGCTGTCTTGTAATGGTTATTATGTAAATTATTTTAAATTCATGAATTCAATGTAATTTCATGGCAAATTTATAAATCACAAATCACTATGATGATAATCTGAGAAAATCGTTTCGTAATATACCTTGTATTCTGCTATGACGAAACAAGTGAAAACCAAATATTCTCTGGATACATTTTTTTCGTTCATTCATTTAAATATAAAATTCAAAAATAAAAATTAAAAATTCTCTTGTTCGCCGCTTAAATCATTCAATTGTCACTTTATTTATTGCTGTTTTATTCGATTTTTAACACATAAAAAACTTGAAATGTAAATGAGTGCAGAATTGGCCAAATATCATTATTATGATGATGATGAATAGACAACAGCAAAAGACATATTTTTTGATTCTGGTTGATTTTTATTTGGGGGTTCGTTCTGTCGACAAACGCTGAACATGATGTAGACATAATTCATTTTCTTTTCGTTGTTTTTGCTTCAAACATTTTTCTCATTTGAATAATTTAGAATATGAATTTGTTATGTTTTAGTTAAAGTGGTTTGTCAGACAAACAACTACCGTAATAATAACCGTATGGATTGAATACATAAATGAATGATGAATGGAAATTCGAAAAAAATGTAAAATAAAAAATGAAAATTTCATTTCTTCGTTTTCCGTTTCTTACCTTTCAGTTATAGCCGAAGTTGTTATTGGTTACCTTTCTTCGAAAAAATTTAAATTACTTAAATTGACTTTATGTCAATGTTGTTTTTTATGTTTTTTCCCGAAAAAATGAAATGAAAAATAACAAAACAAAATGGCTAATCAATATTCACTCAAAGAAACAACAAATTTGAATAAAAATTCTATGGATAAAGTTTGTTCGGATAATTCGAGAAATGACGAAACAAAATTATTTGATCTTGTTTGGTTGGTTGAATTCGGCATAACGAAAAACAAAACAAAAACTTTTTTCTTTCATAGAATCGGTTTCCAATTAAATGTTTTTTTAGTTGTTTGGGCATTTATAAATAATGATATGCAGAGTAGAACAGTGATTGAAAATTTGAAAATTCAAGCCTGTTGCTTGCTTGCCTGTCGTGTTCAACCACCATCGATAATCATCAAATGTTTGGAAATATGTTTTTGTTTATATAATATTATTGATGATTGTGTATCGGATCGGGTTCATCATATTGAATAAATGAATAGAAAACAACACGTGTTATTATTGAAAGGCTAAAATGTCACTAATTTAATAGTTTCATTTTTCTCGACAGCATATATAAATAAACAAAGCCCGCACACATTCAAAAACGAAACAAAATCCAATAATTATCCAATCAATCAAAATGTTAACAAATACAGAATGGCAGTTCGATTCGGGTATCAATAATAATAATAATAGTAATAATTGCCATTTTTATGACCATCTTGACAATGTTTGCAAATATAAACATTGTTTTGAATATTGTGACATTCATAGAGACAAACTTGGAAAAAGTCATTTTTATTGCTTCTTTTCAACAGAAAAATATTCATAATGGTTATGATGGGAAACAATCCAACACCATCATCATCAACAACAACGAAAATCAAACAGATTTTAATTTTACTTTTTCCCTTTCATTTATAATATAAACAAATCAAATTGAAAATGAAAACATTAAACAATATTGTAATCGGATTATATTTGTTTCAAGTAATAGAAAACAAAATCACTTTTCTTGAAACAAACAAACTGATGATGAGAGTGGGGGTGGCTTATTGATTGAATGAATCGATCAATATGATTGATAAATTTTTATAAATTTGTAACTAACTGGGATAAGATTTTCTGGTTGGTGAAGCCAGTGAAACAAAATTGTACCATCCAAATGATGATGATGTAACAAAATCATTTGATACGATCCATTGATTCCAATTAAAAAGATTTAATAATTTTGTTTTTTCTATGGTGATATTATTGAGAATCTTGAAAATTACAAAGAAAAAAATGTAACCTGAAAAATGCTAAGAAACCCAAATGAAGCAAAATGTTTTAAGGAATAGAAAATGTGTCAACGAAAACCAGATCAAATAAAAGAATTACTGATTTGGATTCCTTAGCACACAGAAAATTCCAAGATATTTCGATAAAAATCACAAAAAAAAACGAAAAACAATCGTCATGGGCAACTGATGAAAAGATGATGAATTCACGGTGAGCAAGACCAACAAATGAAATGAAATCTAACAACAACATAGGATGAAAAGAAAACAATTTTCATCGGAATTTTTCATTTGAAGATGACAAAATTTTCTTTTTGTTTCACAATCATCACTGCCACCACCAAATTTTCTACTTGAGAATTCTATTCGTATTGTTTTATATGAGAAATGAATTCCAGAAATTAGAATGTAAAATATATTTTGTATTGAATTTGGGTAGCTTTTTATGATTTCATTTCATTATCAAGATGTGATAAATGTATTCTTGGGTAAAATTTTTTTGAATCTCATTTTCACTAACCAAAAGCAACATCAACAACAATCATAACATATCGTTCACCACCTGAATATGAATGAAACAAAATGAATGAAAATTTTTCATAAACGAAATTGGAAAATAGAAAAAAATGCGCATTCGTGCGCATCATCCCAGTGAAATAAAGACAAAATTGGATGGATGATAAGATGGAAAAAAAATTGTTTTTTTCTCTGTAAAAGTCGAGCCAAAAGATGTTTGAGCTCAAAACTATTGACCGGAATCAACATTATAATCACACGATGATGATGAAAACTCGGAGTGTGAAATCATTAGTGCAAATGAAACTAGCCAGAAAAAATTCTTCAAGTAATAAACAACAACAGCCATGTCAAAACAAAACGAAATGAAAAAATTATTTATTTCAAAACCGGAACAGGAAACGAGAAATAATGAAAGAATTAAATTCTTTAAGATTAAAATTTGGTCCAAAAAACAACAAACTTTTAAATTCATTCATTTCGAGAATTGTCATTATAAAGATTATATTGTTATCACAAAATATAATTTCAACGAATCCGTGATGAATCTTAGAATTTTCAAAAAAGCTTTGAACAATGTTGAATGTTGCAATCATTTTGTTGATCCTATTAACTCATCATATTGATGAACTTTTTCCTCAATTGATGGTCATCATCTTTATGATGACGATGAAAAAACAAACGATAAACGACAAGGATGATCATTATGATTATTTCATTTTTTACTCAAACAAAATTCGTTGATTTGTCTGTGTGTGTGTGGTTATTGATAATAAATTTTGATGACATCAGCTTATATAATCATCATTGGATAAATTATTTGGATATGGTCAATATTTTTTCTGTTTTCCCGTCTAAATAAATAGATTGACATATTAAATGCGATTATCAACAATAGAAAAAATCAAATGTAGCCAAGACACCAATTTGTCATTGTATCACCAACGAATTCTATCCCATTGTCTTCTTTATTCCGAATTTGTTCCCCCCAAAAAAAAGATCAAGATAAAAATGATTTTTCGTTGATGATAAAAACAAAACAAAAAAAAATTGAAAAATTCAATTGAATTTATGAATATCGAATAATGATCATCATTTTTCATTTATTCATAATATCGATTTTTTTGAATTGAATTGTTATTTTCTAAATGAAAAAAATGTCGAAAAATATAGAATAGAAAACCACAATCGATGTTTTCATTGATGTTGTGTCCATAGTTTTGTCATCATCATGGCCATGTTCTTGCAAGTTTTTTTCTGGGAAAATTTCTCAATGATGGCTTTTGAAATTATAATTCCGGAGAAAAAAATTCTCACTGCAAACAACAACAACAACAACAATATCGTTGAAACTTTGAACAGAAGATGATAGAAAGGAAAAAGTTATGAAATTCTTCACAAACAAAATTGTAAAATCTTTCGATTTAGCTAAAAATATATTGATTTTTGATCAAAAAAAATTATGGCTTTTCAAAATTATGATGATGACAGAAAAATGAAATTTTTTAATTATCAAACAAAACAGAAAAATTTCATTTGTAAATTTATATTTCTTTCAACGAAAGTTGTTTTTTCAATCATTGAAACCTAATGGTGTGAAAAAATTATCATTTTTTGGGATCATATAGTGTGTATAGGCTGTATTTTTCAAAACAACCATAGCACAGCAAACAGCATGATGATTTATAGTCAAAAAATCACCAAGTACAGATTTAATGAAAAAAACGAAAAATTAACAAAAATTTAATTACTGACAACCAAATATGAATTTTTTCGGTAACGAAACGATGTGTTTTTTCCTCATAAATTTTGCGCTCGTTTTTTTTGCAGAAAGCCATCTCACTTTCATATCAAATGATGTGGACAATAATTTTTTGTTTTTTCTGCCTGTTTTATAATTTTTTCATATAAATTTTCGTTCAACGATATTTTTATTCGACATAAATTTTCTGTGCTATGTTATCAATTAACTTTTGCGATGTTATCGTTTTACAATCATGATCATAATCATCGGCAAATAC